TACAACACCACACTCCAGGTGTCTTTGCTTTACGAGTTAACCTAATTGGTTCGCTTAAATGCTATTAGCGTCCAGCAATTACTTACTGGCTATTTAAGTTTCCTTTTATTGAAATCGCTTTTTGGCAGTTTAGGCGCAGCTTTACAGTCGTCTGAGGAACCACTTGCATGTTAATAATCATATCTGTACATGTCGTTGTTCCTGCTCCTCTTCTGGTTTTTACATGAAACTTGTCTACGACAGCTGTCTTTATCGAAAATAAGACATGCTGTATAGTTTATTCATTCTTAATTCAAGCATAATATTTCCACAATTGCCTCGTTTCTATCGATCTCATTGATTATCGTTTTCTTCCTTAATGCATAAAAGTTCCGGTATGCTACCTTGCCTGTGGTCTCTTATGCTTTCATTCAGCCATGGAAGTTTGCTTATTAGTCTGCGTATTTACTGTCTTCATTGATTCGACTTTTATCAATTGCATATTAGTCTGCTGTTTTGCTTATTCCTGCTACATCCCTATCGAAACGTTGGATTTATAACCAACCCTTTTGAAGAACCAAAACTGACTGTATTTAGCAAAATTTAACACGATTGGGTATAATTCCCTATTAAGTGTGTAGCTAGACTTAGCATTGGTTTTTTTTACAATTCAGGTATTTTAAACTCCCTGTTTAATGTTAGTATATTTTTGTAGACTAATTAATTAATCCTGTATGCCCCTTGGCGATGGCTGGAAATAAAAATTTTCAGAATAAGGAACTATGTGACGATATTGCTCCTGGCCTTCCAGATCCCAAAACCAAGTAATTTAATCACTGTCCTTTTCATGAATTATTTTCAGCCTTGTTGACGATAACGTTTGTGATCTGATAAGCCGGTCGATGACCTCGTGCACCGACCCCTCTCAGTTCGGTGCTCTATTGGAGTTTACTGATGTTTTGTTCGAAGACAGTTCTTTGAGTGAGCGCTTGTGTCGGTATCGATGGTTATTTTAGCTTCCTCTACACGACTTCGGCTACTGTCGGATGTCATTCAACATGCTGGCAAGTTGAAATGCACAGAAAAACAGGCTATCTTAAATGTTATTTTTAACCACATCAAAGGCGTTTCAAATGAATTCCTTCACGTAGGTCTATTTTTTTATTTAATCGTCTTCAGTCACCTCTGCTCTTTTTTGTCTTCGACGCTTTATCATCAGTATTACGCGTTCAGTGCCTTGACACAACCTCTCGATTGAATTCGATTTCGGAATATATCAGAGCAGCTATTGGTTGTTTACAATCCAAAAGTATGTTGACGATTTAAATTTACACATGTATCGGTCCTTCAATTCATTTTTCCTTTTTATCGATACTTTAGATCTATCCTCATCGTCGGCACATCTATCATCTGTGCTAGGTTTCATTATTTCGCTCTGCAGGTGCTGTGGCGATTCGTTTACTTGGATTAAATTGCTCGAGTGTGGAACCTCCACAGACTACGCCAACGGATTCCCACTTCGCTTAATTCTCACTGTAATTACAATCGAGTTGAAACTCAGGCTTCCAACCGAATTCGATGGGTACCACAAGGCATGTTTAAAAATATTTCTTTTCGCTGCACCTTACATGATTTATTTAGACACTCGTAGTTGGTCTTAGCATGATATTGTTGCAAATTTTACATATTCTTAATCGCAAATTGTCACGTTGTTCAAGCTTTTTTTGATTTTACAACTGAAGTTGTAAAATTAGGATATGATGCTACGACAAATTAATGGAGGAAGTTGTATCTTTTAGAATATGATGGATGATGATATGCATTTATTACAAGTTTGCCTGGAGATGCTTTCATTGATAATTGCTGAAATCGCTGCAGCTGATGACGAACCATCCGACCGAGTAAGTGGACAATCTTTCATTTTAATTGTGCACTTTGTCCTTCATTTGAATGCAACTATACTTTGAAAGACTGTATGAGGAGGACCTCATAGATTTACTCTGGTGCAATGAAAGCAGCACAATAAAATCTAATAATCTTATGGATTTAAAGGCTCCTAGAAAATAACTTACTTTGTGTGTCGGGTACTACGCAAACTCGGAAGTTTGACGTGTAATTACTGATTGACAATTTGTCTTTTCTGTCTGTGTTTCGTGTATTCGGTTTATTAGGTTCATTTTTCAACTGGAGCCAATAAAAAGCTAGTAGTATCACCCAGGTGTTGCTTCTTTATTTCACGTGAAACGAATCGCTGGAGTGAAATCCTTCTGCGACCCGTTCGGCATAGAATACTAAGCCTTTTGTCTTCACTTAGACCTCTGAATGCACCATAGATTCGATGTCCAACGACGCTGTTTCATCGCTGTTGGACCAGCTTATCAAGTTGGGCAGCCATATTGGAAATTCACTGTCCACTGGAGAAAGCACTGATCATACTGACATCCAGGTAAAGGTTTCACGACTCCAACGCTTGTTTACACGTCATAATTTATTTCATGTCTGATCTACCTTTCAGGTAAATCCGCTCGCCCTGAGGGTTCTTGCCGTTTATTTACAGTGGGTCACACATTTCTACAAACATCGTATCCTGACACTTAGCGAGCTGGATCTTGCCATCTTCGATGAGACTGTTTCACAGCCCTTGCCTCCCACTTCGGAGGAATACCAAGAATTAACTCAGCGCTTCGAACGCGATGTCTGGCTGCCTTTATGCCCTTTTGTAAATACCGTTTTGTAAGTTTTTAGAGTTCAGAAATTGTTTAAACCACAATCACTGTTTTGTGAGATGCTGTGTTTAATAGTTCTTTTTGTGGCTATTAATCTTACTAATCTGTCTCTTGCCTAGTTAAATTGATGTGGTTTTTGGTAAGTCAGGAGGCAGGTATTCTACCATTTATCGCGGTGTATTTCACAGGACATTCAGAATGGTATTTCGCTTTTGCCCCATTCGACGTTCCGTTAATTATGCCAAAAGTGAAAATCCATCGCAAATACTGAGTCCAGATTCAGTTCTTGTTTAAATTTATTTATTATTACTCCATGTGCTGACTTTTAGCCGTCATGCATTTTGTTTGGATGGTGGAGTTCAGGCCGAGCTGTTCGCAAGGTGCCGCAAGCACGTCTGTTCCCTCGCGCGACTTTTTCCTGGCGTTGTCGTCAATAACCTTGACGCTGATTTTGCCGACTTCTTACTCGCCTCACAACTTGCAAAACCATCACACGTACGTGCACCGTTCCATGATAAGGGGAGTAAAAAATTGACTGGCGTTTTGGTTTGTGGTGTCCTGTGACACGTAAAAGCGATTTCGGACTGCGCTCTTCTTAGGTTCCTTGGCTTCATTTTTACGGATAAGCGGTACTCCGACATTTTGATCACATTTTGCGGAAATCTTGGATCGCTTGCCAATTACTCAAGTACTATCACACTTTGTGTTTCGGAATCGTTTTCCGAGTCCTATTTTGGCCAACGCTCAAACAGGAAACTACTATCGAAACTTTACATACGTGAATCACATTTTTCGGTGTAGTCATCAGATAACGCCTTTGCCAATTTTAGCAATGTAAGCAACCTTTTGTGCTTTTTCCTTTACCCATTCTATGCCATCCAATTTTGTTCTCGCCTTAGGTGTCCGAATCTCTTAGTTGCCTCCGAGATGTCGCTGACTTATTGAGTACAGCGCTCTGTGTGTCGGCTCTCGTTGACAAAACTGACGACAGTTCTCGCCTGTGTTTCAAAGACACCTGTGTTTCCGTTGTCGGCAAACTCTCTTTCCTCATTCTTGATAAGCGTAATTCACTTCTCGTAGAAGCCCTGTTGCATGACTTTGAAAACAGTAAGCACCATCATTTCTATCAGGTTGCATCCACTTAAAACTTTAAAATTTACACTGATAGGGCTCTTACTTGCACATAATGCCAAAATCTTAACAGCCACAAGAAATAAACTTTAGCAAAAGTGATTAGATGAATTTTTTTGTTTGCAAGAAGTTACTAGGACGCGGTGGGTGTTGGCTGTTAATGCCATAAATTAATAATAGCATTATGATTTTTCGTCGTTCTAGGCGCTGTCGGCAATCTCTGCGTTGGCTGTAGATCAAAGCGTCTGGCCATCTTTGCTGAAACACTCTCCAATGTTGTCGGTATTTTGCTCTTTCTGACGGCGAACGTTTGGCAGTCAGAGGTTTCCATTCTGTTGGAAGCTACTCAAACTCATGCTGGTTTGTTTTAACATTTAACACCTTGCGATGTTTCCATGTTCTTTGGCTTATATCTCTTCCTTGAAACGCATGGCCTGGGATACGTTCACCACTCGTGATAATTGAGAAATTGAATATGGGTGACACTGATATGAACGTCGTCCTTTTATTTGTGGTACTGATGTAACGAAACCGATGATGTATGCAAACTACAACCAATGCTTTTTTATCTTGCATATAGTTTATTGCCTAAACAGAACCGAACGTACTGGAAATGTGAAACTAGCATGCTATAGAAATTCGTTGCGTGAATCTTTTCATGCATGTTATTATGTACCTGTTTCTATCTTACCATTTTTAGAATCGTTGACAGACGTTAATTCTCACTGGACGATTGAGCGCCTATGTGACGCTGATCTGGAGGTGCTGGGTTACTTGGCTAAACTATCGCCTTCTTTACTGGACTGGGATTTCTCCCATTTGCGATACTATCCATGCAAATGCTTTTCCTCTTCGCCCACCTTGCGAGCCTCCTCTAGCGCCCTTTTACGGTGTAAGTTATTTGAGAACTCGTGGCCAAGAAATGTATTCCAGGGATGTTGGGATGTGACGGTAAATCCTGCATGTTGACCTTTTATTAAACCCTTTAAAAGGTGAATCGCTAGTCGCCCTTCAAGTTACTGATCGTGGTAGTGGTGTTTGCGTTCTGAAAGATGTGGATATTTGTTACCCTGCTCCGTGACTAGTATTTGAGTGACATGGTAAATACAGACACAACTTTCTAACTATCCATGAACACTTGACCCTAAATGATGAATTACACTTTTAGCGGTACCTCAGCCATTCTGTAGTGTCGTACTTGGGTGTTGCCACACACTTTTTGGGCACTTTAGGGTCACCCATTCACTTCCTCACCGTCTGGTTTGGATGATAGATTAAGCCATGTTCTGTACACGGGATCGGGTCCTCATATTTTTCTGACAAATTTTCTAGCTTTTTATTCTATATTTACTCATTGATGTGTATCTTCTGTTCTCCTTATTATTTTGCACAGGCTGCCGTAGAATGAGCAAACGGGATCCTCGCTTCCATAGAGTATGGAAGAAAAAATGGAAAGAAACAAAATTGAGCATTTCTTTGTCTAGTAAATGACTTAAAGTTTGGTGTATAAGTTTTACAAATATACAAACTAGTCTCTATTGTGTTGTTCGTCTACACTTACTTAGTGCACGAGTGCAGAATTTTTTCAAAAATCTCCCGCTACCAGTCGTAAAGGGACGTATCAAAGGTGTTGCCATATTGCTTTCGAAAGCAAATGCCACAGTGAGCAGTGAAAACGTCTAGGCGTATCTTAAACACCTGTCAACCAAAGGCAAGGTTGGCCGTCTTGGAGGTGCACTTTGTAACTTCAGGTACTAGCTCGCTATGGTTTCTTGACTACAGATTTTGTTCAACAGAAAACTTAGTCATGTAAAAACTACTTCTAATATCGTGAATGGCAAATAAATTCATTCTTCTTACTCGGCTATATTCACAGTCAGTTTCATTTTACCCAACTTGAGAGGCATTCATGTGAATCGCCTACTTTACCCCAGCAAATTGTTAGTAAGTCGGAGGGTTCCTTCGCCACACTTGCGCATCAACACACCTAGATCGCCACCTCGTTATAGTCATGTTTTCCAGCCATCATCGTCATAACCCTTTTACCAACGTTAATTCCAATACATTGCAAACTGTGTGGCTGGAGAAACCGAGCCGACCAACGGCAACTGTCCACGCACCTGAATTTAACAACAAACAAAGGCTTTTAAGAATTTTGAGTTTAGTGGAAATCATAGGTTAAAAGGTTGGCGTGTGAAATGCCTCCACGAGAGGAAAATGCTTATCCTTCCAAGTCCTCCAGACAGATTCGTCCAATGATCGGCTCCAGTTCAAACGGTGACATTGCTGTTTGCATGTCCTCTTCACAGACATCTGCTGGCGAGGCGGGTTTGTGAACTTTTTCCACCGTTCCACCACCGGTGTCTGCCTCGTAATCGTTGTCTTCCTTATTTTCGTTTAAAATTTCTATCCCAGTCGCATTTTTATCAACTTCACCATCGTGTTGGTTAACCCTGGTTGACAAAATAAGTACGTTTTACACAATAGGAGGCTTTTACTCTTAAACCATCTCTCAAAAATACATGTGCCTGGATGTATTCGCGCACCGTGCAGATGCTCCAATACCACGCTGACGTTATTGTTTACTACTCTTCATTCTTTAAGAAGTTTCTATGTTGCATCTTAATTGTGATTCCTTAATGAAGGAAAAAAAACTGATTAAATTATTCCACCCAATAGAGGCCTTTAAGTTCCATTTAAAATTAATTTTTTGACGTTATAATTTTTGGACCTTGTTAGATATTTGAGTGTCTTTAGCGAGTGATTGCCAGTTAAGATGACTAGCCATTTTATGGCCAGTTTCATTTTCGACTTGCACATTTGAAGGTTCAGTATCTTTTGTAGTCCTTCCAGCACCAAAACTGGTTTCTCGGTGTCATTCCGAATCAGTGCCGTTAAAATGTGATTGCGTCGATTTGCCTTCGACTTTTTCAAGCGTACATTGTGAGATACGTAACAGTGTCTATCACACCAATCTGCCGGTTAACGGGTTTCACTCGTCGTTAAATGAGAAATTTGTGCACAGCTCAACGAGTTGCCGTGGGAAAGAATTTTCTCACCAAGATAATTCTTAGATCGAACTCAATCACAAATAATTAAGGACAAAACCGGATTTCTTGAGATACTCATCAGAGTACTCCATCTGTTTTATGTTCACAAATACATCCGCCATTGCAAGTAGCTGCATTGATCACACAGTTAAAAGGCGCCTACGAAGTTTATCTTAGCATCCAATTTTTTAGCGTTGGTAATTGCATACCAGTTTCCCACTTTTAAGGCCTCCTGTGTTTGGCCTGGGGACGGCGCGTTTGGGGCGCTTGGTTTCTGCACGTGTTCACTTGCGTTTTCTTCACCCAAAGTAGCTGACATTCGTCGACGAAGGCTGGGGCCTATATTGGACAATGAATAGCTTGTCGAGGAGGACTCCGATGTGCAGGAGACAGATGAAGAACTCAGCGTGGGTGATGCGGAGCGGCTCATCTCCTTTTGCCACTTTTTCTGGGAGTCAGCAGTTACAACTGGTGTCTGTGTCCTTGAGTGCCATCGTGACCGGCCTGCACTGTATGTTGGTTGCTCGAATAGGGATCGGCGGTATAGGTGGCGCTCCTCATCCGTCTGTGTATTAATGCCGCTATCGCTGTCCGATTTGACGGTAGTGTTGGCAATTGTGCTGTGACGATCAGACACGTCGACCAACCTACAAAACACCATTACGCCAAGCATTTATTCTCACGCGTTGTGTATGACAAATCAATCTGTCCATAGACCACGTTGTTATTTGTCTATTCATGACCATTGAAAAGTTTCCATTTGATTGAGGTATTATGGTACTTCTTTCAGTCATCATTCATATGTCATATATCTGCCATGTTTTACACTGGTATGCTAGGTGGATCAGACGTCGAGACCGTGTCAACAAGTGCTGCTGTGCTGGCATTTGTCCACCAATTTTATCCGCCAAGTCATGCTAAAGGAGCAGGGACAGGTACACGCACAGACGTCAGGTTGACTTAATCGTGACCTGACGTTCAGCAGCACTGAGCTAACAGCAATTTGTTGAATACTTAGGAGGTGATTAAAACCCCTTCAGGCCTCATAGAAATTGCCTGATTTTACCTTAAAATTCTGTAAGTCAGTATTTGCGAGATTATTAAAAGCATTTTCAAGTGAACCAGTACACTATGTTTGTCAACGAAAAGAATTCATGATAAACCAAGTGCGCATATATTTTTTAATTAATCACGGTTATCGCTACACATACCTGTTATTCCGTTTTACAGGTCTTGTAGATAACGGGACTGGGTGTGGTTCTGTGGATTTGGAACCTCCTTCCCCGGAGTAGATACAAGAATCTCGTGTTGGGAGTTTTTTTCCGCTTGGTTCATGGTTTTTTATATTTTGAGGTCGTTTGTGGTTAGGAAGACTTCGCCAACTGTGCTTTCGCTAAAACGTATAATTATGTTTCAGTTAATTGCCCAACCGCTTTGGATGGATTCTATTAATATGGTTTCTTTGCACTGCTGCTCAAACAATAAACTATCGGAAATTTGGACTTTAATTTGGAACATGGCATTAGTGGTAAATCCTATCCACATTAAGTGTTCAAAGACTAAAATGCGTGAATTTACGAAAAGGTCCCTCTAACCACTCGGCTGTGACCACGGAAGAGCTAGCTGGCTTTGTCAAATGCTGCAACCTCAGTGGAAGGTCAACAAACGCAGTAACTTTAGGATAGAAAATTACAAAGCGTTACCTCGACTAGTTTTCTGGTGTCATGCTCCTGTTTTTGATGTGCAATCCGACGATTTGACAGTGAAGTCGGTTTCTTTGGTTGAGAGTAGCTAAGCGGCCTCGCTGAAGACGCTCGACGCCATGACAACGGTTCTAAATGTGATCGAATATATCGGCGTTGGTTACAGAAGTAATTTCGGTCTGCATATGGGTTAAAGTTATTGAAGTGGTATCCAAAATTTTACGAGTTTTGATTTATTGGTTCTAGCGTCGAAGGGCCTCGCAACATGTCGGTAGCAAGGGAAATTACTTTCTAGGAAAGTATGTTTGGGTAAGTTTCAGTTTCTTCCCTGTTGGTGGGTGGGAGGTCGCAAAATGTATTCCCTTATATGACTACACCATACACAAATCGTCGCTTATTATAGGTACGTTACAGTGTAGTTAACAAGAAGCACATAGTTAATAGCGCAAACTTACGAGGTTCCCCAGTTTTTTCTAAACCGTTAGTGTCCTTCATCCCGAGACGCTGAGCTCGCTGTGCTGCAGCAGTGCTTTGGGTCCGAGGAGACTGTGAGAGTGAACGTCGTGAACCTTCTCTCAAGCTCACTGGTGTGGGTTTTGGGACCGGCAGAGTGTTTGCGCATGGCGTTATGGGACTGCCAAGCGTGCCAACGTCATCCAGAATGCCTGAAAACTTCTCTTGATTGGCCTCCTTGGCCGTGAATGTGAGTCGCAAACTTTTCAGTCGCTTCCAGAAACCACCACCTTCTGTATTCTTCTTTTCGATATATGCACTATGTTCGAAATTTGTTTTTAATTTTAAGTTTACGACTGCCTCCCACAGCAAGCCTTTCCTCGAAATAGACTTCATATTTTTTTGTTTTTTTAACTCGTAGTTTGGACTTTATTTACAGAATTTGATATTTGATTTATTGTGTTAATGCCCAAAGCGAATGTACACTCCTTCCAAACACCAGATAAATAACGCTCAAGAAAGTAATGTGCCTTAGCTGCTCTAGGTTTCATCAATGATAATGAACAGTTTTACGTCGAGGTCTCGTTTAGCAACAATTTTTTCCTACACCAGTGCCATTCGCGGCTGCGTACCCAGGCAAAAAATGTAGAAACGTATTATTTGTGCTCCATAAATTGTGCACATAAGCTATGAATCAAGTTTGCTCCATCGCACTTACCCATCTGTATCATTACTGGCTTTTTCTTCGGTATTAGTGAGCATTGGAGTGTTGAAGCTGAGCGTGTTGGGGCTGCTGTTCCCATCAAGGCTATCAGAGCAGTTGTTTGAATATGAGGGAGTAGCCTTGACACCATCGATGGCAGTAACGTCACGACCAACTGCCTTAAAATCAGCCACTTCGGAGCCGATCATCTCGTCTAACTCCAGTAACATGCCATGCAGCGCAGCCTCGGCTCTTCTGAGACTGTCTAGATGCGGAAACCTGAGAGAAGTAGTGAAGTGGTTGGTTGGTGTCACAGTCCTCCGGAGACCGACCTTTGGGCGCGAGCGTTTCGCAACAGTGTTGAGATCAGATGGCTCAAGCTTTCGGGTGTAGTAGATCATTTTTTTAACAAGCAGTAAATACCGTGGAAGGCGTTGTACAGGTGCAAGCAAATAGGTCGTAATGTCATTGAATTCACAAGCAGGGTGCATTTGAAGTTGCTGAAATGTTGAAAATAAATTGAATACAAGGAGCATTCTCGCTTGGTTCACTACGCTATTTGCCGCAGCACTGGTATTTCTTAAGCGATGTCGTGACTTCACACTGAAAGCCCTTCAATTTCAAAATTTTGCGTAGAATCCGACCTATTATGTGACATAATCCGCAATTATATCAACTTTTTCATGCAATTGTTTGCACTACTCCATTAAGAGAACATCATTACTCGTGCGCATCATTCACTTCCTTTGGACAATCGTACTGTCTACAATATTGTTTGCCATCAAAACTAAGTATCACTGGTTAAAGTGAGCCATGAATAGTCACTTACGACCACTTCGGTTTTCATGAGAGGAATGTACGTTTATTTTCCAATTCAGGTGAGAGAAACTTAACCCGACGTAGCATCTGTAGGCGCCACTGAACCACCTGGGTATTCGGCAATAGTTAGCTCATTTTGCTCACCGTAAGATGTTTTCTCAATCTGCTCGAACCGCGGCGCATTTTGTTTAGCATGTGCATTGCACTAGAGAATTCGGCTAAATAGCGTGCGTAAAGTTTGAAGAAGGGTGCAGTAGACCAGAATGGTGCATTGCGATAGTACGAGGTGCAGTTAGAGTGGGTGTAACACCCCAGCGGTCTTTTGCCCTCGAGCATTTCCAGCAAGACGGTGAAGGGGGTGGCATTACACGTAAACCGCCCTCCTTCACCAACTCCAGTCTCCTCCCTGTAGGTTGGTATCTGGTGAAGGTAATCTTTAGTCCAACCTTCTTTCCACGGTCTGGCTTCATTTATAGAGCTGTCAAATGCCCTCCGCATAGCTTCGAATGATTCCCTGTGCAGGTTGCATAGATCGTCGACTGCAGCAGGGAAGAGTCGTCTGAGGAAGTCAAAAGATTTGAGAAGCCCTTATGATATATATCAGGTGTTGTAAATCACTTTAAGTGTAACACGATGACGCTTTTATTATATGAATGCTAACATTGATCTTCAATTTATGTCATCTGTCGTCATTCCGGTTATTTAAACATTGCAAAAAAACAGGTACTTTAAAGTAGAATGTTTCGCGGTGTGCACATCCTTATCTCGTTCAAAAATACCTTCATTGACGGGACAAAGTGTGACCCTGAACAAACTTGCTGCGGGTGATTGTAATGCCTTAATAATTTTGCTTCACTCAGACTGGTTGTACATACCAAAGTCTACTGATTAGTGAAAAAACTCATTAACATTATGACATCAAACGTCAGTGGGCTTTGTCAAGTGTTCAATCATCCTCTTTAATATCCCAAGTGTTTATTACCTAACCTATACTCGGGCCAAGTAATTCTACACGTCAATGCTAATTCATCCAAATTTTAAAGTCACTCAGTATGTAGCTGTGCAGAGATAGACACCAATAAGCTATAGAGTCAAGGTGAAAACACATAAGAGAAGCGAAACATACATGAACTTTTGTCTATCGTTTCGCCAGCCAGGAGCAAATATCTCGTCCCGCAAAATAAGAAACTGCGATAGTATGTGCACATATGAGTTTTCGGTGTTGACTAACTCCTCCTGCACCATAAGGATCATTGCACGAGCCTGGCACACCTCGTTGTCAACAAGCGACTGAGGAAAAATATTTCGCCGAAGAATAGCAGTCTGACCAACGGGAGTTGTTGGGGTTTTACTAGGAGCTGAAGGGGTTCGCCTTCTACCAGTGTTATAAGGAATCCCGCAGGAAGCGTTTGGGTTTCCTGTACTACTGGACGAACTGACAGATTCGATATTCCACAGCTTTCGTTTAAAGAGCTGCGAAGGTATTTTCCTGACGACTTTTGACTGGGAATCAATTGCTAGTAACAAGAAGATTGGCCGCTAGAAATACAAGTTTGGGAACAATCTACTAGTTCCAACTAAATGCTTCTGGCTATAATTACCTAACCTTCGTGGTCAGGGGTAGTAGGTTTGCTAAAGTGACCTTAATATAACATACGCAACCTGGTCGTCAACTGACGTTTTGGATTTGTTTCTGTTAACACCACGTTGAGGAGTTAGTTTTGGCCTTGATGTATTGGGGATAATGAGCTATACTGTGAAATAACTGGTAAATCATTACAGTCGTAGAGACCTATAGATCCGTACAGCCCTTTCTTGGTGTAGAAAACTTTTTTTAAGCTGCCTAAGTTTGGTTCCAGGGCTTGAACCCATTCGAGTTAGAAAGTGGATTAAGAATGCTAGGAGATTACAAGAGTTCACACCATTCAAATAGGATCCTTTCCACTTTCATTCCAGTAATTAAATGTTCAATGTATGTTAGTTGGAAGCCCGTTTTTAGAACAAAAATCTGTAAAAGACACAACTACCTTATACAAAGCATGGACTGCATCAAACCGCAATTTGTCTACCAAATGAGAACGCACTTGGGTGTTTGTTGAGCTGTCCATTTAAGTTATTTTCCAAGTCAGAGGCAACTCCTGATGCAGCCACGCCCTTCCCGTTGTTACATTGGCTATCCCCGTGTACCGCTAGGTCACTCCCAAAGAGGTTTTCGCCTCCCTTAATCATTGACATCTGTGTCTCTGCCCCCTGCTTAAAACAAATTTACATAGTTTGACTGCTTGCGTTGGTGTTCAAATACTCGAGTGCTAGTTTATGCAAAGGAAAGGCCTTTTGACCACATGATGCTTCATTTGACAAAATTTCCTGCTGAGCTCTTTGTTGCCTATGCAGAAATATAAGTATAGTGATAATCTACTCTTTGACGCTTGAACTTCCTCAAAGGTTGCTAACACCCAACAATAACTCTATTTTTGTAAGAGTAGTTCATGTAAAAATACAACTTGAGCAGTGATGTTTGTAGTTTGGTTTTCAGAACTTAATGAGCCAAAATTACAGGTTACAAATATGAGGGCTAAAAGTAAAAATGCATTAAAGGAACTTTCCTCAATGTTTGCTAGAATGGAATTTAGTTTCATTAAATTAAAGAAGCGATATTTTACACACTAAAATTTGAGCTCCTTTTATGAATCACGTTTGCTTGATTTGTCAAAAACGACTAATGTGGTCTGAAGCTTAAAAATATGCACATAAACATCAGTGGCTCCGAGGGCTGAGTTAACTCACTCTAAAGTAGTAATACTCCTCATTTCTGCCAGGGTGCATGAAAACATGCTGAGAGTTTTCAAAAGTTGGTGACGTTCCAACAGAAACTGACCTTAGACCCCTTCTATAAATCGGAGTAGTGGAGACAGTATCTTTAAAAGAAGGATAAAAGTTTATCGCAATTTAAAAAATTCGTAAAACCATGTTGGATTGTTTTATGGCCTGAACCTGCTTTTGTATTAGGTTCTACATAAGAACATAAGTTTTAAAATAGAAACAATGTTATATTCGGTAAATTCATCTAACTTTAAACACCCTAGTCCAATTTAGTGTTTAAGTACCGAACGATTCACTTGTAAATTCCAGAAGACGTATCAAACTACTTTGAGTAGCAAGCTGAACACAATATCTTATGAAGCATCAAACGACCTAACTCTAAATAACTACAATATATTATTGCTCAAGTAATTTGAATATGATATCAATGTGTATAAAATTTTAAATCACGTCAAATGATTAGCTTTATGATATATGTTTTTATTGTTTCCTTTGCATTTATTTCTGCTTAGAAGTTAACGATTATAGTTAAAATTACAATTTGAAAATTTCAATAGTGCTAGCATTTTGAAACCGAAATGAAGTGTGATCTAGTAATCTAGCTCGCCTTCAGATAAAGATGCCGGCCCCTCCACCAAGGGCATCAATGTAACACTCTCCTTTTCGATTGGTGTTGAAGGATCGCTTGTTGAGCAAGTAACTTCAACACATTCTTTCATATGAATATGTTTTGACGTATTCTGCTGAGATGACCCAAAAAATGCCAGTTCGTGGTCCCTTAAAAAATAAACATTTAGATTGACCTTAACGAAAACATAATTTACGACAGCATGAGTAGGTTTTCTTTAAGGAGAAAAGGTGTAAACTAAAATGTCAATAAGGAGAGTCATCCGATTATAGCATTCACGGTGCTCCGTTAACAAAATAAATGGCGGAGTCGTCCATGGACATACTTTCAGGCTAGCTATACTGACATCTTCAACATTGGAAGGCAGCGATAAAAGCATTAGGCAACGCATTTCATGATATAAACTTAATTATTTGAATCAAATTTAAACGCTATAAAAACCAAGAAGTGTAGAGTCAGAAAATAATTATTTGACTTGGTTTCTAGATACGTTGTTTCTGAGGGTGTCTGTAGAAAACTCCCGCTTAAATCTAATAATGTAGATATTGAGCCAGCTGTCATTCGTAAAATTTCTAAATTAATTTTTTTTGAAAAAAAAAGTGGTAAACATTACTGATACTTAAAATATGAGAACATGGCAAGTTTATTTATGGCAACCTCCATTTTCTTGCTTTTAATGAACCAATAAACTGTGGAGAGCACCTTTTAAGAGTTTTCGCATAAGGGTTCGGAAGATGTAGAGGCAGGGTCACTGGAAGTGCAAAGCTTGGATGCTTCGTTATTGTCTGCGTTTTAGATTCACCAATACCTGAACACACTCCCCCGAATCTTTGCCAAAGCTGATGGTTTGATTGTTCCAAACGTCTCACAACTTCTACGAGAGAATCGATTTTGCACTACAAAAAATCGTCCATCAGGGATATAATTTACTGCAGTAACGTTTGAAAGCAATTTTGCTAAAGTTTAAAGCAGAAATTGGAAAAAATTATTTTGCCTACTGTGATAAAAGGTCAAGGCATGAAAAAATTCGTTCCGTAAAAGGATTAACTAATAAAATGTTTGGCTTGATCATATTTGCGGAATATTTTCAAAAACCAACGGCAATCAAACGGATTTAACCCACATCTGGGATTAAACGCAAAAAAATTTATTCCATGAAATATTTCCATTTCTATCCGTGTCATGAAAAATATTGCGATTTTGTGTGAAATCGGTTGCTTCACACATTAGCCAGACATTCATTATTAGGTCCCCAAAAAGTGATCAATTAGGATTTACAAGAGACGAAAAGTTTAGTTAACTTAAGATATGGCACAAAAGAAAATTGGCATACATTTATGGAATCGACGCCAGTATGAATTGCAGAATGAGTAACAACAGTGCCGACGCAGCCTGCACATTGCTTCGTTAATGCCCCTGTTAATGAATCTTCTGAAAATATTCCTTGAGAAATTTCATTCTGAGACCCATCTTGAAAAATATTGTTGCCTAGTTGGTCCCCGTTACCCTTCCATTTTTGGCAAGAGTTAGCTTCAGCCCGACGGCTCTGATATGGAACAACGTACGACCTAAAAAATTTGATTTTCCAAAAATCATGAAATTTTTTTACTATTCAGAAAAAATCATACATAAGTAACAAAAAACTAATAGGCATTGACTTTCAAATGTAGATCAATGCAGAAATAAGTGACCAAGTGCTTTAATGCTTGTGAATTTCACACAAACTATTCCGAATTGCTACTATCCTTTATATTAACATTAAAATGTAAATTAAGTATACAAAAAGAATATCGTACATTAAAAGAACTCGGGGATAGATAAAAGGCAAACTCTGTAAAGTGGACGCGAGATTACAGCACAGCGGTTAAACACCCAGAAAAAATTTTACCAGTAAAAGAAATGCATACAAACATAAACAATAAACTAAGATTTATTTAAGAAAACTGTTTATAATTTAATCTGATAATTTTTAAAAATTAATGTGCTAAGTAAATATTGCAATAAAACAAAACCAGTATCCGTACAAAATTTAGGTTTCATAACGCTAAAAATAGGTCAAAATCATCATGGATGTTGTTAAAATTGAAATCACTTAAAAATAGGGCGGCTATACCGAAACCTTCATGCACAGCTTTAGTTTCCTATTTAACCGACAACTTTAACTTTTTATGGTTTTTTCGCTAAGTTAAGATACCATAAAATGTACAATTCCACCACGTTCTCAGCATGGTATTTGTAACTTATATATTATTATCAATCCTCTATAGCAGGACACTTACTGTGCAGCTTTAGTAGTAACAACAGGCTTAGTTACAGCCTATTTTCTCTAAATAAATTTAAATAGAATATGGTGGTGCACAAGGTGATTTTTGGCATTTTTGGTGACAGAATAAAAGGTAAGGCTTTCCGATACCGTCAGCATACTTAGCGTTTTGCGAATAAATGATGACATAAATTTGATCTGCCTTATCTTTACAACTAACTGTATAAGACAATTCATGCACTTCAATAATGAAAGTATCATAAAGTTGCAGCTTAAATTGAAACAAAACGGCAGTTAGTGATTAATTTTGGCAACCACATGCTATTTAAGTAGGCTTTTCTGACAGCACCTTACATTATGTGGGTACTTTTAGTCCTTTTTTGTCACCGGTTTCTCGAAACCTTCATTAAAGGCCATTAAAACACATATTGACAAACTGGCAGGGCTTATGTCGTTATCGTATTACTGATTCATCAAATGAAGAAAACAGAGTATAATTTAACAGGTTTTCTATACAAAACACAGGCCAGAGTAGTTATTCAGGGGTCGTCCATCCAAATCCATCCTAAGCATTGTGCTTCTCATTTATCCTTATTTCTGGTTGGAAGCTGATTGTCCTCGTGGTTATTTAAGGGCATAAAGATGATAATGAAGATAATTCAATATGAATTGCAGCTTACCTTTGTGGGTTCAACCAAGACAAGTGATATATTCAAATCTTTAAGATAAGCTCTCGCCTCAGTTGTTCGAACTAATAAAGGGATTGGGCTGTGGTTAGAAACGCGCTTCCTAACGCATCCACTGCCACCTATGTAGAATGCCAGAGCCATAGTATAAAGAAGGCAGGTATAATAAAGTTATCTTTACTCATTTTTCATAATCCAAAATTGTCTGTGATTCTCCGTCCATCCCTGGCGTCCTTGCAGGCTTCAACGAAAACCAGATGGCGCTTCACATTCTTTTTCAGTCTCTGATTGGTTACTAATATTTCACATTGGCCATTTAAGACCACAGAGAACACGGATTGGCTGAGTTTAGCGTGGTAGAAAAGGGTTGCCCTCCGGATTGGACACCAATATTTAATTAGAGTATGTTCAGGGAACTTCTGATGACAAATTTAATTATAAGAACTTTAAGCCTTACTTACCTTGAATTTTATTTCCTTTGTGTCATGTACTTGAACCTTGCATTGATTTTCCGCCTTCCACTTACTCTAGTTGTCTACATTGTGAATTATTCCTTTGGTTAAGGGTTCTTTATTGCTTATACAAATACTGAAATTGATTGAAGCTTCATGTGAGTTATGTAGTCTAGTGGCGATACAAACTGGTGGAGTATTAAATCAGTTACGTTGCCCCTCTTTCTGTCTTTGATACATTACAATCTTGTCTACTATCTAGTTAATGCCAATAGACTTGTCTAAGCGACTTGTGTTAACCCTTGTAGATAATGTCTCGGATAGGAACGTATGTTTCGAATTTTGTTAAAACAGCACTCCATACAATTCAACCCAACAAGGTGGAGGAATATCCATATGAACAGTACGTGACCGAATACTCTTTGTAAGTCAAGGTTCCATCTCTAATCGTCTTTCTGCAATCCAGATGCGAAATGGTAGACCAAGTGTATGAACAGTTTTACTTTTATAAAATTGCTAACTACTACGATGTGGTGTACGTGTCCCCTCCCATTTCAACAGACGACTTATCTCGCAAGCGAAAAGTGTATAGGTAACCCATTCGTGGTGTTAATGTTTTGTAGCCTTCTTCGTTATCAGGGGGACGTTAATGAGGGAGTCGCCTCATTTAGGCATTATGCGGAAATATTTCACCTAATGATGTTGATTTGTGCCAAGTATTGTGTAGCAATTGACAAACTTTGGCTGGAGAAACTAATGTTGCTGTGCCGAAATCATCCTCATTGGACTCTGGCTCACTTTGCTGCTTGCCTCAAATTCAACGAGGCTTTTAAGGAAGAACAGGTCGTTATGTATGTATTTGTTATTATTACTATTCTCTTAGAAAATACGTTTGTATGGAAACGTTTTCAATGTTTGTGTAAACGTTTTAGGGTTTTGAAAATATCTTGGCTAATAAAACCTACCGTTCCCCTCCCGTAGATTCATCAACCCTCTGAAACATTTCACAACCGTTATCGACTTAGTATTTTAAATCTGCAGTAATCTTAAGTAGGTTAAGTTTAACTTTTCCCCAAGAAGCAGATGGCCTTACTCTTCAGTAGCAGAACATCACCCCCATTACTCTTGCTTTTCGGCGTAGACTTTTAGGGTGAGTGTACTTTGTGCATATTAAGAGCTTGTCACACAAAGTTGTTGTGTCTGATAATTTCCTATAACTAGTCTCCCAACTGTCATTGTCCTGCAATACCTTTGAGTCTATCGGGACATTTGTATTAATATATCTTATCTTATTCTACTAATCGTTTTAGTACGGGATAAATTGCAATCAAGTCAAATCCGTTTAGGCACCGCTGTGTTTTTGGTTTTAGTCTTCAAACTCTTTTCGCTAAATGTGGCTCCAGGAGACAATGTAATATACCCACCAGAAGCGCTTCCAGTTGCCTCATTAAGATTTTTTATTTTTAAATTTAAAAAAAATAGTCGGATAAACGAGGCGGATGAGGATACTGGTTCTACTCCGCTCCACGTTGCCGTGCAAGTCGGCGGGATAGACACGGTTCGGACGATTTTAGCTCTGAGCCAAACTCTCGTGAACGTTGTTGACGCCGCTGGGAACTCCGTTCTTCATTTGGCAGTGACCGGAAATTCTCTCGAAATCCTCGAGGTATGTTTACTTTCTTTGCAGCCCCAAACTAATCATTTGAACCTACCATGAGTACTTCTTAAGCACGAGTTGCACAGGGAGATTATTGGTTGTGGGCCGGTGTTGGTTACAAAAATATTACGCCACCTTCCTAATTGAACGAATTTGAACTCTCACTTTTATTCCTCTCCATATGATATTTAAACTCGTTCCTTGATTGTATTTGTAAGTGGAAGCGTTTTCAGTATGTGGTGTGGATCGAAATTCGTGGATAATTAAGAGTGATGTGTCGGCTTAACTTCATTACGTCTCCATACCAAAACTCCCAGCCGTCAAGCTGACAGACAAGCAAAAAATGCCCGCAACTTCTTTTACGTCCAATGTTTTTTATCCATATCTTGAGCTAGTGCAAACTTTTTCGTGTGCATCATTATTTTTGTCATTTTTGAGCCACATGAATTTATTTTCGGCCGGTGTTTTGCCGTAAACGTGTAGTTTTACTTGTCAATCCTCTAGCATTTTGCCCTCTCACACTGTTTCCATGGCATATACCACATTTGAATTGCTACCAGTTGTTAATTTATCTAGGTGGAGACCTGGGTTGTTTAGTCGCACAATGTGACAATGCTTAGATGACCATTGCGAATGTATTTTGAACATCCTCGCTTTCATCTCATAAGCCTAAGGAAGTAAAGGCATCATGTATATTCCCCACAAAATAATATGCCAATTCGCTAAATTGTTGTTATGCTACCACCTTTCGTGACTACCTTGTCCTCTGTGGTCCGACTGCAAACTCACTTTGAAAAGCCTTGAATTTCTAGGTCCTCAAATATTGCATTTTGAATTCGGAGAATTGATCTGTAGTGCTTCCAACTGACGTTGTAGGAGTTAGTATCAACTAACGACCCTTGCTCCATGGATAAAAGTTTTGAAATTTTTTGATCTTGTTTTTTTGTGGTTTCGCACGCCAAATATGCTTTGCCACCTGATATTCTAAAGGTGCTTTTTTGAGCGTTGAGCTGTTTTAACTTACTTCACCAAAGGGTAAATTCACTGGTGCCCCCCACTTCCGTGTACGCGAATCGTGCAATAAATATTTTCAAAAAAAATAACGTCGCAGTGCTTAGGATGTTAAAGTTATTTTTGCCGAAATTCTGATTCGCTTTTCTCACCCATTGTTTATCTCTCACCCTTCGCAAAGAATATGGGATATTTCAATTGGAGTACGCAGTGTTTGCCAAAATGCATGTCCAACTGATTCCTTCCACTTTCTTGTCACAATTCCCCAACATTGATTCTACTAATGTTAAAGACATAAACCCCAATACCAAATGACGACCCACTTCATCACAAATTAGAAAAATAGTCCAAATACTGCCAGCCTGAATTTTATGTGTCATGCGTGCACACTCCTCGATGTAAGGAACTTGGATATACTTGCCTGATGCTTTAAAGCGGTCGAGTTATTTACCGAAGTTGTTTTGAATGGAAAATCTAACCTCTCGAGGAGCCTTTAAATTTCTCACCTGCATGTTTTAACACTGAGGGCGAACGAAATATGATGGTGGTCTAAATCGGATGTATAACAGGCTCAAGTATGCTCTGTATACTAGTGTGAGGTGGGAAACTTAAAAAGTAGCCCAAATACGCGTGAGGGAACCATAACACGGTTTTAGTGCGATTGGTTTCGAATGACACCAAAGCACGCTCTGGCGCTACATCACGTAAGTCGTAGCCGCATCCCAAATTTAGGTGTATTCTGATATTTCCCAAATGCTTGAGGGAGACGCGTGCGAGTGCTGTGTATTGAATTTAAATTACTATCTCATTTTCACTTTTGGCGTTAAATTATGCGCAAGTTTTAAGGGTCTCTAGAGGTCCCAATCATTCGGCGACTTTCAGGTGTCCCATATTGTGATTCGACGTTACTATGCTTTCATACGCTATTGTCAATGGATGAGTCGTGGTTAATAATATTACTAGAGGTAGTTTTGCAATCGCAATGTTGACCTTTGGCATTTAAACCCCACGGATGATGAGTACCAACTCTACAACTAATCTTTCTACATTCCAAGTGTATGTGCGTTTATCTTACTAAACGGTTTAGCATCTTCACTTTAAACTGCCTTTTAGTTGCCGCTTTTCCAATAGTAAAGTTTAATTTTACGGTGTCATTTTCATAAAGAGACACCATTCGTTTTTACATACTTGCCCCTTTAAATTTTGCATCGCCTGAGGTTTGTTTTGGACGCTCATCCGTAGCCGAGGTCACAACGATCAAAAGGCCTTTTTGTAGCACAATGTGTGCTCAGCCACCGAGTAATTGCACAAATCACCGGCAAACTTATAATTTGTTTGGTATGAATAAGTGTGTATTGTTATTTATTTCCGAAGCAATAAAGATCCTGTAACGTGCACAATGGCTTACCTTTATCTGAACCAACTTGCAGTATCTTAAATCATTTACCGTATTTCAGATTCTACTGGATATTGACCCAAAAGAAGTCGATACTACCACTACGCACGATTCATCCGACCACAAACCCATGGGCTTCAAAAATTCAGTCAAACCGGACGTAAATGCCATCAACGCGGCCGGTGAAACTTGTCTCTACCTAGCCACCAAGAGCGACTCTTTTGCGATCGTCGAAACGCTGCTACGAGCAGGCGCCGACCCCACTATCGGCACCACCGACCGCCTTCCCATCCATCTTGCTGTGGAGAAAAACTCGCAAGCGTAAGATAATTCCCTTTTATCTGGCACGCTATGCCGCTTCAGAAAGCCTGAATGTGGCGCAGTGCCTCCCATATGCGAGGCTTGGCGTATGATGATATGTCATCTTATGCTTTATGCCTGTCTATACTGTGGCTCTCAAAAGTCGAATCTACGATGTTATTTTTTAAACATATTTTCTCTCCCATATCTCTTCTTTTGTCGGGATGGGGGCTGGCAGTAGTTGAGCCACACGTGAAGTTCGATAAATGCCAGACCCGAACAAGGTGGCGGTTGTGGCCACGAAGTGCAGACGAGGGTTTTTGCCGGCTGCCATCGCTTCCATAAACTCAGCAATTGTGAAGGCGATTAATCCAAGTCACGCAACTTAGACCCTAAGCACTACCATCCATTCAAGGAATTGGTCGTTTGACTCAGACACCCCTATGCTTGTGTCTAATATAATAGTTTCGGCCGTCACTGCTTCGTTGTTGTCTTTTGGCCACAGGATAATTAGAATCGGTTTTCTGTGTCCTACAGCCGTGAATACTTGATAAACCCAGTAGGTTTTCCTACTTTCCTTCTAGCTTCGTCGAACTCTTATGCAATCACTACCCTGATGTGATCAATTTGCAAACACGGGACGACAAGTTGTCAGTTTTACATATCTCAAGGAAAATGCCAGTGAGTCTCACCTTCCTTCAAAAGGAAGTAACTTCGAACATTTAATGATTTATTTAATTTGTTCTTCATTTTTCGTTGAGTGTCAATCTAAACTCACTTATCTTCTAATTTCTTGCGTAGTTGTGCACGTGGCCACACTGAAAGGCAAAATTTCCTTGTCCTTGGTAGTCTTCTCAATAAAACCATCTTGTTTAGGCACCACTAGTAGAATTCAGTCGCGTTTTTATTGCTTCAGTCAGGGTCGCTTCTGGTAGAAATATCAGCGCACCGCATTTTCGGTAGCATTGTTGCCAAACTCCTGTGTCAGTTAATGGTGTATTGTGCCACAGTTCGTGTCTCGAAAGTGCTTCAACCATCCACTCAAGAACGCATCGTGTTTTCGACGACAGTGGAGTGCTCGTTGCTTTTGTGTCGCAACATGTGGTGTGCCCCTCATCACAACGCCAATTTTACAGCAAATTTACCGAATTGACGTAATAAGAATCTCCAGTTCCTTCAAATTGCTTCACCTTTGAGCGCGAAATTATCTTTACAAGAGGGCCTCGTGTCTTGGGTCACGCCATTTCGAAATGACAGGTGAAGGTGCTTTTGATCTACTAGGTCTCATCTCCTACCCTTCTAACACACCTGTGGCATTCGGTTATTTGTTCTTTCGGGTAATCTCGCCTGTCTTCCTCGGTTGCACCACTGGCTGCACATAAATAAACATTTCGCTCCTCTCGCTTCTGCACTATTAACACCACTGAATGCACACATTACGCTAAAAGGCATAACACTATTGACCGGATCAGTTCACCTTCAACACTTTTTGCTAGCTGGCCGAGTGCAAATTGTTCCTTGTCTCGGCCACACCGTTACTTGTGTTGCCCTGGAATGTGAAAACAGATTGTTTAGTGCCATTATTTTGTCGCAGATATTCCCTTATCTGCTGAAACTTGGCGCTGACGTTAACCTTACAAATTCCTGTGGGCGCACCGTGCTCCATGACGCCGTGCAAGAACAAAACCTCGACACCGTGATGCAACTTCTCACCCACGCGGCCGACGCTAACATCGCCGACAACAACGGAGTATTTCCACTTCATCTGGCAGCCTCGGTATGAAATCATGGTGTCCCTTATAGAGTTGACTTAGACCATAACTATTGCACTTACCTTGTCACCGTTTTTTTACCATAAAAAGGACCTGCCTGGTTGCGAAAATTGGTGGTAAACACACTTGGTCTAGTCGTAGTATCTCCTTAGCTCGAATTCTAAATCCTGGCGAAATTTCGCTCCCTATGAAAGCTCTTTTGAGGCCTTAGTCACATTTGCCTGGTTGCTTAAATATGACCGAATTTCTCTTTTCCTCCGCCTTCTTATTTATTGAGTTATTTGAATGCCCCGAGTTTACAGCATTGATAGTTACAGCGCATTTTGCTGTTCATTCAAATCACCACGACATCGACTTGGTTTCAACAACACTGAGCCTGAGTCAAGTTTGGTCGTGCTCTCCGAGTGAAGGCTCAAAAGGCCTGACATCTCAGCAAGACAACTGACCCCCTCGCGTGCTCTGTCAGTCGTAAAACTTTGGCTCTGGTGTACTAGGACGTGTTCAGCACAATCGCACTTTAACATTGTCACCTTTTATTAATTCCATCTTCCACTAAACTCTTGACATGAGTGAACAGTGTAAACTTTGGTAGCCAACTCTCTTAAAATACGCAAGCCAAGGGTAATATTCTTATATAAATTTGTAACTTGCCAAAGCCCATTCATTTAGGTATTTATTCTGGTTCTGACAACATCTAAAGGTGGTAGTAACCTAAACTTTATGTAAAAGGTGGTCACGCGTCTTAAGACATGGGGACTGAGGCATTCGAACATGATCGCTAGGCTCCAAAGTTGTCAACAAATCTCTCGCTCGTGTTAAGCCTCATTTAAACATTGTAACCTCAAAACGGAGGCATTTACGTAAGGTAAACTTCTAGCCCCCCAGCATTGACCTTCCATTATTACCAGAGTCCACTAATTTCTGTGCTGTTTCAATCCAATGAAACTTGTGGAATTTGATCTTGCAGTAATTTACTCTCTGGGGTGCAACCAAATCCTGTTCAGAGCTGTGTTTTGATGATCTGACTGGTCGGATCTGTTGTCCACCAGTGATTTTTTTTACAGTTGCGTGAATTTTTATTTATTTTGTCCTCTTTGTAAATAAAGTGTTGGCTCGATTACCAGTCAGATGTTTGCGCTTGAAGTTAGTCACGTCAAAGACTGTTGTGGTAGCTCAGTCTACACCGAAGGGTATTCCTGCTTAACGATTGCACAACCCTTGGCATCAAATTGCTAAAGCACATAGCAAGCAAAACTCAAGGCCTTATGTGAACCCGATGCACATTATTGACTCCAACTTCACGGCGCCGGTTTCTCCCGTAACTTTTAATAGAAGTCAGATGTACTGATTAGAGTTCAGTAAGATGGCTTAGTGCGAAATCATGCTGCAAGTTCTTTCATAACCCTCAACAGTCAAGCGCTGTTCATTTCACTTGATTTGTTTCGTGTCAATCAATATATATTCTAGTTCCACGGTCGTGTATCCGCGTCGTGGTAAGTGTTCAGTCAAAGTGAGTATGAAAGCCCCCACAAGCTCACGGCGTAGGAATGGTTACTTTCCTGTATGATGAAACTGGTTTGGTAACTTATAGACAACTAACCTGAAACCTCTGCGTCTCTTAATGCGCCCAATCTTGCCACACGTGGAAAAGTACGCTTTCCTGGATTTGCTGCTTGGCCAGATGCCGAATTTTCTCTTCGTTGCCTGACCGGCAGTGGCTGGGGACTTCTTCAGTGTCGTTTGAGCCAGCCCCATAGGCCAGCTATGTTCCATGCCCCACATTGTGTTCTCGCATACGAGTGGTCCAACCCGAGCATTAAATACCTACTTGTTTAATCGGTTAGAACTTGGGCTCATTTAGGGATCGGGAGGTGCCTTTCCCAGTGAGTGCCTCGTGTTTTGGCGATCATTGGATGAATGAGAAATTCATCGTCTCTAAATTGTACCCTACACTATCCATCAATGACGCTAAAGGCGTAATTTTATGTGATTTGTGTATCTAGGCCCATTTGGTGTCTTTCTTCATTTTCGTCTGCCATGACAACTTGGGAGTTTATCAATTTGCTGTCCACCGAATGCGATTCGAGTGCTTGAAACCCCGTATCGTATCTAACATATCCACATCAACTGTTAGATAACGGTGACAATTGTAATTATTGCCACAGCCAGAGCCCCTGGTTGTTAAGACTGCAGTTAAGCCATTGACTTTCGGTGGTGAAATTGTTGCATAAAACGACACACACACACACACACAAGTAAGCACAAAAGCCGAAGCGCACACCACACAATGATGCCGCTAATTTATGCACAAGCGCACTCACAGCCACAGTGATGCAGAGTGGCGGAAACGGTTTGCGCCGCAACCCAATTCCTCAAAGGCCCTTGAAATGGTGCGTGCTCGTGCGTAAGAATCAGCAGAATGACCTTTCAAGTACGTAAATCTATTATCCATCATATGGGAAATGCCCTCACTAGGAAAATGTATGTCACCCACTACAGTACTCTTCCACAATCGCCTTTGGTTAAGGAGTTTCCCAATTAATTTGTAACTTTTGAGGACGGAAACGGAAAAATCGGAGCTATGGTTGATGGTTGGGAAATCCAAGAACGGAGCTACACTGCCCTTAACGAGATTCAGAGAACGAAGTTGAGTGTTAAGGACTAGGGAATGTACAAGTAGCCATGAAGTGTTCGGTTACTTTGATGATGGAGACTGAACTACCGTGCACAAGCGCACTCACAGCCACAGTGATGCATAGTGGTGGAAACAGCTTGCGCCGCGTCCCAATTCCTCAAAGCCCCGTGCAATCGTGTGTGTTCGTGTGCAAGAATCAGCAGAATGACTGTTGACGTCGAGGACTGCCGTTGTGGCTCCTTGTGGGGTCGCAACGAACTGAAGTCACGTCAGAATTTCTAAACAGTGCTGGCAAACTCGTCCATTGGATCTACGTGGTGACGTGCGGTCTCGTGTCCTGCCCAATGCGATCAAAACATCCCGTGATGTGAAGGGGAGCAAGTGGTGCGGTACTTGGCCACTTTCCACCAACATCGCATGCGCGTTAGATGTTTGCTTTTTTGCACATTTCGTTCGCTCATAGTAGCATCCCGACTGGGTACTTCAAGGCCCTAAGCAGTGCAAGCAGCGCCAAACTCCCAACCAAATGCTGTTCAAGGCATCCGGTTGTGTCTATAGTCGTGTGTTTTTTTAAAAAGATACTTTCCGTAAAATTTCCACTTTAAAACTCTCCTGCCGAATGTTTCCCTCTCTTAATAATGCAGAATATGTAACAGTTCTATGTTGTCAAAGCCTTTGGCAGACATTCTTGCTTCACTCATCATTTTAAAACCGGGGCCTTTTATGTTACGCAATTCAATTAGCTCACTTAAAGTAAGCGGACGTGTACTTTTGTTATGAACTTTTAGATTTGTCAAGACGTCCACATAGTTTACGCTCTGATCGCCTTCGAGGCCGACCCCAATGCCACTGATGCTGATGGTCTTTCCGTGCGCCACTGGTTGTGTCGACACAAGTCCACTGTGTACGTCGTGCTTCCTAGCATTAATTTCCTTTTCAGGACTGCGCAGATTGTCTTTTTGTTTTATTGACGCGAACTTGTAAGTAGTTGTGAGGACCATCAGTAGTTGCACCGTTGTGTCCCGCACGTGTGCCACGGACGGCCTTCGGTGGCATGCTTTCGTTGTGGAAGGCCCACTTCCTCGCACAAACCAGCCTGCAACCGTCCAAGTTGGCACATTAGCCCGCCTTTGTCAACTGTAGTTTTACTATCCTGCTTGAAACTAGCCTCGTCGTGTCATCTTTTAACGCTGCAATGTCAATGCCATTTTGCAGCAAAGCGTATTTGTGGGTATTTACTACAAGACAGTGTAATTTGTTATGCAATGACTTTTTGCATTCAGAATTCAGGGGACTTGGTTTGACTGTGAACTTTCCGAACCCCTTGAATGTGCTTTTTCCTCCTTTTAGATACCAGCAAAGCCCTGCGAGGTAATTCAAAGTTACCCTTAAATTTTGACCTCCACACCTGGGTTTTTCGCCGACTATGGAATCTGAGCTAATGCCATTTTGGATTGTCCCGGTAACTGCGGGTGTTTGATCACTTGACGCACCTTTATTTCCTAAGCGTATTGCTTGGTGGACGTTCAGGTAACTCTGTTTATGGAAAAGTGATTGTGCCCGCGTCTGCGGCAAAGTCGTCTCACGGGTCCCATCCACGCTTTGTGGTCTCCATGTTGAAGTCGGGAGAGGGAGGTCATTAGCTTGTCTGGTGTCCCCATCGAAAAGACCCCCTCGTATTGTTGTCGTCTGATTAAGCGGTGTTCTCCCTTAAGTCGATATCTCGCCCACTCCCCCATTTGTTACCTTCTTTTTAGGCGGATTTATTCTTGTGGGAGGGGTAATAGTTCTGTTGGGCATTGTCTGTGGGGGTTTTTTATAGTTCCCGCTATCAACCACCGTTCACGTACCATCAAGTAGACCAACTTGTCAATGCACGTTCCTTCCACTTGGGTGCAGCTTCCCGTGTCGTGTGTGTGTGTGTGTGTGCGTGTTTAGGCAAATACTGGTCGTTGTCGGAGCATGCACGAAGTAAGTATGCGCGGGGCTAGTTGACTAGAGCGAAACACCAAACAGCCTGCTGGCACAATCACTTTCGAACGCATGAAGTAGTCTCCTCAAAAACAGCTCACCATTGTAGTTGGCTGTAGTTCCCAAGGGCCTTGTTTGTGCGGAAATCGTAAGTTCAAAGTTTTCTCCAACAGGGACACGATTCTGTTTGCACTAGACGTTGTGCGGGCTCGCCGCTGCCCGCCCGGCCTAGCCGACTGCACCTCTGGCTGCGTCTCGGCCGCTTCTGTGTTGCAGCCCCAGGAGGTTCAACAGCAGCGGCGCAGTTCCAGCTTCAGCTACTTTTCCCAAATCCTGCGTGACATGTCCTTCACATCCCTTTTGACCGACACCGACCCAACCGCTAAACTATTCAACGGCACCCCTCCTGACCCCATTCTGAGCAATCCCAACTTGACACATGATCGTAAGGTTGCCTTTTTCCTCAAACTATTTTGATTTTTACCAACCGGTAAAGATTGTCACTTTGTTTCTAAATTTTGACTTATTGTTTACTATTAAAATATCAGTAGCAAGCTATCAATTTAAATTTTAGTCGAGACTGACCTCTTCTTGCACCTCGCGACCACAAACCTCACACCTTTTAAATCGTCTTCTTCAAGTAGACGTTCTGGTGATCGCGCTGTTGACAAAAGCGATCCCATTCCTCGTAAAGCTGGTGAAGGGGACACTACCGATTTCGAAGTCCCCGAGGCTTTGGATTCCGGCAACGAGCCGCACGATCGCGACATTCCTGAAATAACCGAGGCTAGTTCCCAAACCCCGTCCGGAAGGCCAGTTGGAACCGCATCTATGCATAAGTTGGCCACGAGAGATTCCCTTCAACCGACTCCGACTAACCCTAACCCACAACCCTGGTACAGACGACCGCTCGTCCCCCGCTTGCTGTCTACCGCATCCTCCAGAACGGTAAAGGTTTTTGTTGCTGAGTCGGGCGGGCTCCCCGCCCGGCGCTGACCGACAGCAGTCGAGGCGACGTTGTGGGGTGGTAGTTGCCACGGTCGTTAAAGTGCATGCTAGCAGCGAGCATAACGAGCAGTGGTCAATCGAGGCACATCTCTCTTTGTCGTAGCTACCGCAACGCACGACGGGTTTCCCTCTCTTCTTCATCGAAGCTCTACCAATTTAGGGGACAAAAAGTGCAATGCCATAATCTAGGCATCTATGCATTTCCCCTTATTCCTATCTGGTCAGGCTGTTGTTGTTTTTAACTCCACTCAAGCATAAACACACTGGACCGTGCGGCATTTTTTGAAAATCTTTTAAATAAATCACCAATTTGTCCAGGGTCCGATCACACGGCAGGATAAAAAGGCATACGTTCCTCCCCCCTCACCATCTTGGAGCTGCACTTTGCTCATAACGTAAATGTTCAAGTAAATAGCCAACGTCTCCCCCAACCCTAGCAGCCACTTTTAAACCTGAACGAATCTAGCGCCTACTTATGGGTATATTCGCGAAGAATCTTTCTCTTGGCCGCCAGTAATGGCCTATTACAGTAGACAAAGCATAAAAATCGTGGGTTTTGTTCCTACAGCCCTTGAAGGCCAATGCTGCCCCCGTGGCGTCGAGCGCAGTCGCGTCTCCAGCCGCCGCCCAGCGCATCTCGCGGAATCGCTCGAAACTCGAGTGTTCCGGTCGAAACTCGAGTGTCCCGTGCTGTCTAGAAGGGAACGCTCAGCGTTCACCTCTTCGTCCAAGTTAGTTTTTCATTATAACACTGCTGTCTTCATTCCGCATCATGAATCCTCTCTGATTCCTGACAGAATTATATCATTGCATCCGTGGCGAAAAGCACTTGAGTGTGTGGTTCCGCTGATCTGGGTTCATGTGACGCTCGCGTACCGTCCATTGTCGCCCAGCATTTCTTAATGGGTGAGCGAAAATTCAAACCGATCAGTTTCAGTGGTTCTGGCCCTCTGAGCTGGCACGCAACTCGCTCCTTTTGCCTCCTTTCTAACATACCTTCCCACTGGTGGAACTTTGGTCGAAAAGGCACCACATTTTATCCGTTGGTGAACTAGTCTTCTTTTGGTCCTCTATCGCCCTTATCTTTTTCATCGCAGTTCGCTTCATGCCAGCGGAAGCAAGTAAGGGTGATTCACGGTCTTAAAATAAGGGCTATCGTGCTTACTTTACCTCACCTTCTCTAGGTTTTGGAGCGTATTCACTTTTACCTTTCGACTTTAAGCTCATACAAAATTCCAACATTTAATCCCAACCTTTAAACTCGGTTTGAATTTAGTCTCGACTGCCTTGTCAGTCATTCTGCTGTTTATTTGTTTGTACGATTGAAATCTCCGCAGGTCTTACTTCACCTCGGTCACGCCTTCGATTGTCACAACGACAACGCCATGACAATCGAAGTGTGACGCGCTAACGGACACCCAGTGTGTCTGCTATTCGTAGCTGTGCTCTTCCGCATTTTTTGGTGATGTCACTTGGTCGAATTTTCTTGGAAACCACTTCTCCTTCTTCTTCAATAAATGTCGAACATATTGAGTGTTTTCTGTTCACCAAAATCTTGTCCACCGAGAGGAAATTATTTCTTAGTAGTTTTAAGAGAGCCTGATCTCCTTCTCCATATTTTCATTCATCAGCCAAGCCTTCTCAGTCTAAATTGGTGCTATCGTTTCATGGCGCTGTGCTAGGTAATTCCCATTACGTATTCATCTCAATCGATTTGATTGGTTAGACGATAAGTGTATCTGTGAGGTAGCAGAAGGACAAAACGCTTATCACTCCACTTCAGCGGATGGCCACGCCATGACTGCATTGTGTCTGGAGTCTCAAGCAACTGAAATGGGAATTTAAATTGTTTGGAAACATGAAGCCTGTCAAACGCAAGATCTTGTGGCCTCTAACGTGTTATGCTGTAAACGCACCCAAAAGTGTCGCTTTAAAAGCAAGATCTCGCTCACCCTCAATGGACGTGTTGAATTCACTTCCAGGTGAAAGAAGTCTGGCTGACAAGACGTCCGCAAGAAACAACGTGGTTGACAATTCCCCTCCCTACCGCGCCCCACAAGCCCCTCCAGAGGTTTCAAAAAGTGATGAAATTCACCGAGACCCAGAGGGCTTCCGAATAGGCAATCGAGGCTACAGGGTGCTCTGTTTGGACGGAGGAGGTATACGCGGGTTGATCTTGTGCCAGATCCTTCGTGCCATTGAACGAGCCGCAGGCAAACCCATCCGGGATCTGTTCGATTGGGTTATTGGTAAGTTATGTTAACTTGAGCGTTGTTTACTTACGTAATTGGAATTTGCCCTCATAAATTAGACACGGTCGTTGTTAACTTATAGACCGTAGCAGCGTGCTAGTTTTGAAGCAGTAAATCAACCCGGGGCCATCAGTGTCGGTGCTGATGTCCTCATTGAGTAACTTCGGCCTGTTATTTCATTCAGCGTTTGCATGTTCATACTTGTTCCCCAGGTACCTCAACGGGTGCAATGCTGGCTTTAAATATTGTCCAGGGAAAGTGTGTGCAGCACAATCGGTGTCTGTACTTTCGGCTGAAGGAAAAGGTTTTTACCGGAAGCCGACCCTACCCCACTGAGGGACTGGAGGTGCTTTTGCGTGAGGAGTTCGGTGATCAGTCCATGATGACGGACCTGCCCGATGTCAGGTAATGGTTTCGCTTTATCGTGTTACTACTGTCCCCGAATGTTCAGCGTCCACAGTATCCCACAAACATCCGGGTTCCCATTGAAATTTCTAGAAAATATGCTGTTCAGAAATCTGCGAAGCTATGAATTATTTGGACATGCCGAATGTGTCAGCGTTACCGCGTCTGCGAACACCCTTTGAGGCAGCTAGATGTGAGGTCGCAAAAAGGAGGCATGACAGTAGTGCGTGTGATGGCGAACCCCGTATGGCCTTCTATGAGCCAGCCTCATATGCACCTGTCGTGAGGTCTGATTCGAGGCTAGATGTGGGTTTTGTCTAGGAATGCATGGAAAACAAATGCCCTGTGCCATCCACTTGTCGCAATGCCTAAATAAATAAATGCCAATTGTATTCATTCCATTTCGCGAATTCGCGAGTCACCTGAACACCGATGTCTTCAGGTTATTAACTTGGCGCGTCGAGGATCGTTTGGGCGACAATGATGAATCGGGGTTTCTAACAAGTTGTCCGTATATTTACGCGGCGGTTGTCATTCTTTTCTTACAGCATAAAAAGTTTTGATGCTAAACACCGGGAATGGATATCCCTTTTGCTTTAGAACAACGCACTTTCATACCGCTAGTTTTTAAAGGAAATGATTTGTGAATATGTCAACTCCGAAATCCACTGTTTTAGTTCTCCCTTCGTCGAACTAGTAAAGTGTTTTCCAAAATTTGTCCCACCGGACCGGTTCACAATAAAAATCGCGCTGAAACGTTTTCGTCAGGGGAGTTAAACCCCCCTTGTCCCACACCCCATGTGACTCGGTCGCGCTCTGTTTTTCCCCTATGCATCCGGATTGAGTTTCGAATTGCAGATGGTGTGGATTCCAAATCGCATTTTCGTATCACCGAGTGCGCTTTCTTTTTACCAGCATCGCTGTTTACGGTTATTCAAAGATTATTACAATATCGACTGAGAAAGTAGCATGAAATTGGTCATTCCGCGCCGGCTCTTTCATGTCCTCCCCCATACCCTCTTTCGCACCTATCAGAGCAGTTAGTTTATCAACCCAAACGTGGGTTTTTTCTCAAAATTTGTTTTGAGCTTTGACTCATGCCGCCTGCGTTATTATTAGCGTTTTCTGCGATTCTCTGCGTTAATGACCTTGGGCCGATGACAATTGACGTCTTCTGATTGGTTGTCGCCGTGACTGGCCTTAACTACACGCCAAAATAATTTTGCCTTGCCACAACACCACACATGAGTCACACACCTCGAAATCCCGGTTTCTGGACTTTGCTCTCGTTTTCTGACCGGTCTTGTCTTGATGCGTTGGACAGGTGGAAAAGAGGTCGCGCGCCTCTACTCGGTCGGTGGCTGTGACTCGGCCTTTGTGCTAACTCCCGGCTGCGTCTTTCGGCGCTTTCGCACCAGACCGGTTTCGTTGCTCACCCGTTACCGTGGTGGCCTCACCGCCGAAAGTCGTGTTCAAGTTGCAACAAACTCCAGATTGTCACCCCCGCCCCCCCCTCCAGTACTTTTACTCCCCACTTCGAGTATTAAGGTCGCTCCAATGGCTCCTAACAAGCGATTGTCGCCACTTGTGTGCTCAACATTTTGGCTATCCACTTATGGGTCGACTCGAATCCTTTTCGAAAGGCATTTATCATGTGAATGAGGTCACGTTCAGGGACCTCAAAACCAACCGACAGCATAAGGTCACTTTTCGGAAGAATTTGATTATGCTGATGTACACCTTTATGTGTAGGAGCGCTATGTGGTTTAAATAGCCAGTAGGTATGTTCATCCACGTTAATATACCACTTTAAAAATTTCAAATGATTCTTTTTTCTTTTGGATAACCTTACATCATAGTCTCTTCAATCATAATTTGGGGTTTGATTTTTTGACTGTCGTTTTTACATTCCTAACCAGGAAAAACCAACCGCAAATTTGCTTTTGTACGTTTGCCATCATGATTTCGGTTTTCATAGCCCAGGTTCGCTTCGTGTTTGTTATGAGCCATGCAACTCTGTGTAATCCACTTCGTTTATGTGCAAAATTCTTGGTCGCATGTTCGCCTATTTGGTTCTCGTTCTGGCCATTGGCTCGAGTCCAAATTCGGGCACTGTGAATTCGCACCTGACCTGCTTTACCTGCCTCGTTGTAGCCTGCTCCATGAAGCTTGTGGAACCATGTAGTAATGCGGCGACTTTGTCATCTTTTGTTTGAATTCGACTTAAGCCAACGTGCTCCGCACCTAGATTTTGAGTCTCTGATTAAGATTGGTCCCAGTGGATTTTGGACGCTCCTTTATTTAATCCACGATCTTCCTTTCATGTGTGAACTTGCATTGCTTAAATGTGTCACAAATTTGAATAAAGACAAGCGTTCCAATCACAGAAACCTCTAAATTGCTTCGTCACGCTTTTCCAATCAGCGTATTAGCATTGAATGCGTCTCGTTGCATGCCACAACTTTACGCATAGTGGCATTTACACGCTTGTCAAGTCTTTTGTGTGAAATTGCTGCTGCGTTTCTCTTTATCCATGTTTTCTATCTACTGTTTCACTCGCACTTTTCTTGTTACCGGCTGGCATGCCGTCCTTTGTATGACGTCTGATGCAATGCTGCGCCCACGTGCAGACGTTTTCTACGAAAGTCTTTCGTTCGTCTGAACTTGCCTCACATTCCAATCGATGAATTCCAATCTGAATGAGCGCTCACTTCACTGAGATGTCGGCTTTATTAAAAAACGAATTTTTGGGACTGAATAGGTAGCGGCTGGTCCGTGTGACTTAGTGTGGGTTGACCCGGTCAGTTTTTTCGATGTAGGCAAAACGTAATCACAACTAGGGACGTTTGAAATGTATGGAAATTCACTCAAAAGTACCTCTTACCTTTAAGGTCAATCCGTGAAATGCTTAAAGTGAGCTTCACAATCATCATTTTGTCATTTCAGGCAGCCTAGCAAGTTTTTCATGGGCCATTCTAATTATTAAACCGTGTCCCCAATGTTCGTCCGCACTAACAGCTACCACCTTCCTAACAAATGGCAACGTCTCCTTCAATTCAAAGACATTTCTTTGACGTCAAATGGGATCGTTTTTGGATTAGGAGATGTATAGCAAAGAAGGATATTTCATATCCTAGTGATCGGCTTTCCTCTGTCATTTGATCGAGGCGTCAAATAAACTCATAGGGATCTAGGAATTTCTTTGTGGTCGGTTTCTTCGTAGAAGATAATCGAACCAAATGACGGTAGTTGGATGGCGCACAGGTTGTGGTCTCTTGGTGCCACACCTTTTATCGGTGCGTCTGCTGGGAATGACCCTCCCCCACTGCTAAGAGCCACCAGCGAATGCGGAATGTCAGTTGAGATTTCGAGACAGTGTTTTCAGGCTCTCGCCCTCAAAGTTAGGACATCGATCAAGGCAAAGGGCGAGCCCCGTTCAAATGCGCGTCGACTCCCGCGTGTGAGTTAGACACTTGCACAGCATCCTTTATGTTACGCGCCTTTCTGCAGCTGGGGTATATCTATCTGTCCTGTAAGAGGGCCCCTAGTGCAAGAGTTCACTGTGCGTGACTCATTTGTGTGCACACGCACCACCGTCTCTCATGGCTCGCTGCTTTCCCTCTCTAGAGTCTCGGTGACGGCTTTACGAGGGGACCACTTCCCTCCACGCTTGCACATGTTCCGTAACTACCCAGCACCCTACGAGCGAATGGAGCAGCTAGTCTCTGAATTAGTTGAAGAGCGGTCTCTCTCACGTTCACCGAAGCCAATCTCCCCTTCCATTCTTTCTGATGCCGCTGTCGCTGACACCGCTCAGATTGTCAACGAAAACCCAATGGCAACCGATGTGCCTTACAACCGACTCCTTGCAGCCTTCCTTAAGGACCTTTTTGGTGAGAAGATTAGGGAAGTTGGCAAAGATAGTGAAGAAGAATCCGACCTGCTAGAATCCATTATCGCCCTGCTATCCTCCTTCTCACGAAGATATATGTGCAGCTCGAAGGGGTTCGAAAAGCCGGTGCCTATTACGGAACAGGTTACTATATTACTTTTTGGTTCCTCGCGTTTTCAGGGCAACCAGAATACTGTTCTTGTCTGAATCCACGATATACTCTGCCCGAATGGCCAACTTTGAAAGTCACCGTGCATGAGAGATGTTATGAGCGCCTTCATGGTCATTAAGACTCTCGAATTTAAACTGTTTTGGTGTCTTTGGTTTTTTCAACTAGTGTGCCTTCCCTCACTTATAATGCCAAGCGTTTTTTTAGATTTTATAATATATAACGTCACCGTCAGCTCCTAGACCGCGTTTCCGTGATGTGCCGGTAAACAGTGATTTGGTGCCTCCAGCTGTGCAGCATGTTTTTCTGTAGTTACTCTTTGGCAAGGTACTCTTGGTCCCCCTTATCGCTCTTAATTTGCGTGTCTGGTTACCCTAGTGAAAATACCCGACGCGAATTTGCTTACTCTTTCGCTGTCTTTCCATGACAGTTTTGCGCCCATAAAAATGGAATGGACAAACATCGCTCTTCAAATATGAGAATGTGCCTGTTGAACCACGCCCTCTTTCCAAGTTTTGCTTTCATGAAATTCAGTTTAGAATTTATTTTTGCCTTTAAGCAACAAGTGTTATTTGTTACATACCAATGTCCTATGATTGCTACTTTGTTCTGTTTTGCTTACTAAAAAATCGTCACCATGCAAAAAGTTTAAGGATCGAGTTGGTTGGTCTAGCACCAATATCCATACAACGCCTGACCTGTCCCCATTACTGGACGTTATAAAAGCGTGAACTCATTCTTGTCTTACATCAAGGCGCCTAAGCCTTTGCTTTTGGTTGGTGAATGATTCAGCTACCACGGTAGATGACAGTGTTGCCGCGATGTGGATCTGTGCACGGTGAATTTTAAGCAGGACTTTGTGGCACACGAGCTGTTTGCTGTACAGGTCAGAGTTGAGCCCTTCTTCGGTTAGGCACAAACCTCTTACTGAAATCTAACAACCAAACCAACCGGAAATTTGCCTATCCGGGTGTGACTCTGCGTTGTCCACCTGAAGTTAACGGCATGATTTCTCACAGGCCTTGTTCAATGTTTAATATTCATCGCACCAGTGTGTCCTTTGCGATATCGCGCATGGCTTAGAGCACCTCATGTTACGGTTCCTATTCAAGTTTGGTTAGAGTGTGTAAACACTCATTGCATAATCTGGCGTTCGCGTTTGCGCCGTGGACACTAGTCACGTGATGCCACACAGGCTAATTAAGGTCCATAGCAGTGCTGCCTTGAGCACACGATGCAGCCAGCGAATTGTACGCACTTATTTGCGTACGCTCATTCCATGTGCATTTGCTTGTTTTCACCGACTCGGCACCAAATCCACTTTTCATCCTGCCCAACCTATTCGTCCATGAACACTCCTCTGTGTGGATTTTATTGGCTACGGCATGTCACAACCGCCTCACACCTGACTGCGAATTTCCCGATCGGGGATATCTTTGCATCCAAAACCAAAGTTCCCAACTGTCGGATGTAAATTTTCGGATTTCCGTTCAGCTAGCTTATAAGAAAGTTTGCAGGCCGCACGCTTTACCTGCCTGTGTTTATGCACTCGAGCATTCAGTCCTCTCGGCCCGCCGTCCGCCCTTCGCGCGCTAGATTTGTTCGATTGTAAAGTTATGCGCTCGCCTCGCCAAGTGTCCAACACGATAAAAATACTCGATCTTGGCTGAGTCGTAATCTGTCTTTGGGTTGTTTTCTCCTTGAATTAGTTGATTGAGGTGCCAAAACCTACAGTATTGGCGCTAAATGTATTTATTTATCAACTTCTGCCACTCAAGATGCGTTTTTAAACGTCAGAAAAATCATTTGTTAATTATTGACATTTTAAGCTCATTAGGATATGAGGATTAAATTACTCCAAAGTAACAGATCTTACAATTAATCGCCGTCGATGACATAGAGTCCAAAGGTTTAAATAAACTGGTCGGAGCAACTGTAGGCAGTGCCTTTTTTTCGGTACCTGTGCAGACTTTTATTTATCCAAAAAGCAGTCGCCGCCGTCATTGGTATTCTTGTTCAATCGCCCCGGAGACTGGACAAGTTCGATGGCGCAACACGGCACTGGTATAAAGTGGATGCTTTAAAGTTATTAAGCCACAGTGATCCCCTGTTTGTAGATTCTCGGTAATGAGTGAGGGCAGAGGTACTCAAATTTAGCTTATCTCTAGCCGGTGAAATGAGTCGCGCTCTCTTTGCTTGGTGCTTGGCTGAGTTAAATGGACAATACTGAAATGCATTGGTTGTTACATTCTGTTTGGTATCTCTTGCGCAGCCGATCTGGCAAGCCGCTCGGGCCTCTGGAGCGGCACCCAGTTACTTCCGTGCGTGCGGCCCCTACCTCGACGGCGGAATGATTGCGAACAATCCCACGCTTGACATTCTCACGGAAGCACAAGAACTCAGCATTGTTCGACGACTTCGTGTATGTCTCCCCTCGTCTCCCGCTTCGTTGTTAACGTCAAGTCACTCAATACTCTTGCTGAATACACCTTTAACCATGGCTACCCCCCCCCCTATGTGGTTGTTTCTGTTGAAAAAATTGTGGCAGTTTTGGTGCTTCCATTGTGCCTCTGTTAAACACTTAAAACGTTTGAAAAGGTCATGAAGTTACTTGTCATGTTGTAGATTTACGAATCGCCTTGACTTAAGCATACACTTGTTGTGGCATCCACATCTGGTTTATTTAGTTATGAAGTGGTAAGGGACATTTTCCTTTTTTAGTATGCCATTTCTTATACTGCCTTGTAGCGGGAGCCGAATATTCCTATTGCAAGTGTGACCTCTCTGGGGACGGGTCGCATACCTTTAAGAGAGGTTCAACAACTTGACGTCTTCCTCCCTCAGAAGGTGTCTGATGCCTACAAGGTGGCTATGGGGGTGACTGAACTGTCACGAATGCTCGTAGAAATGGCCACAATGTCAGAAGGTAAGATTGATTACCTCATCGCTGTCTTTCTTCTCCTACACTCCCTCAATTTACAAGGTAGTAACGCCCGGCTTATGGTTGCTTCTTTGCCAGTCAGCAAACACCTACCATTTGACAGCACACTAGCTTTCGTTCACAATTTGAGACGACTTACCGAAATATGTTACAATTGGTAGGCGTCACAACAGGCGTTCCGTTGCATGTGAACATTTTTGTTTGCTTCGCCTCTGACCTGTAAGGCCAGCCTGGTCAAGCCTAGCACGGTGCTTGTATCAAAAAGAGCACGTAGTGTTGACAAGCAACGAGTTCACAGCAACATTATCTCACCAATTGTAATTCCTTTTTCAACGCACTCCGTTTTCTGTCTGCTAACAATGAATCCCACGGCATAAAGAACTCAACCGCTAATTGAGTCACTTCATTTCACACAGGCCGAGTTGTGGAGCGTTCGCGGGCCTGGTGTAGCTCCATGGGGATCCCGTTTTTCCGATTCAGTCCCATGCTATCTGAGAATGTGAGCCTGGACACGAAGGACACCAGAACCATTCTGCAGATGTTATGGGAGACCGAGGCGTATCTCTGCAACTGCCATGACCGCATCGATAGACTCGCCGAAAGTCTCCTCACTGAATTTCCCTATTCCTCGTCCTCCGAGACAAACTAGATGATGCCATTTCGATTCAACGCAACCTCATCCTCTTTTCCGTTTTTTTTCCCGCTCGCTTTTTATACCACTTTTCACTTCACCTACCCGGAACGAAACACGGCCGTGATTTTGTATTTTGATTTTGTCTCTTTTTGTCGCTCTATACTGAAGGCACCAACACGGAGAGATGTTGGATAGCTTTCAAATTTATCATTTCAAAATAGTTTTAAATGCTCATTTCGAAGGTATGCAATCGGACTAAATCACCGTATTAGGTATTTCAACGTATCTTAGTCTACCGGGAAGCCAGATTCAAACATGTGGGCAGAAAAATTCATGATAATTATCGGTAGAGTGACTTAAACTATTCAGTAAATGATGCAGCTACCGGATTACCTGAAGAGAATGTTAGCAAGTGCAAAGATGTCTGGGGATATTTGTCCGCGTACGCCTTTGGGTGCTTTCATGCAGTTGACTTCATTGTGGACAGCAGAATACCGATCTGTTGTGGAAGGAGTTAAGGCTCCGCGTGGGTGCACCGGTCAGCTTTGTTTTAGGGGAGATTATTTACCCACTGGCCACTTCAATCAGCTCAGTCAGGCTTGTCTGATCGACCGCAAGTGTTATTGAGCTTAGGTGGTGGGCGTTACCGGTGATCAGCGGTATTCGTGAACACTTACTTGTCTTCTACAAGGAGAGTGTTCTGGGGGATTGCTGATAGTGGGAGGCGTTTATCATTCTGTGGCGTAAACGGGTTTCCGGATGGGCACAGGCGACAAAGCATGAAGTTACGCAAGAGAGCGTGGAGAACCGTCGTTTTGGTAACGAGTGGTGAATGAGGGGAAGGACAAATCTCGCAATGCCTTTTAAGTGGTAGAGGCGGTAAACAGATGCGAATGTCTACTGTTGTTGGGTTAAACATGTTGCGACTGGGCTTAAAGATGTGTTAGGTTGAACTAATGAGACTTCGGATTATTTTTTCCGACAGTAATCGCCAATACTGCATATTGTTGTGGGGGCACCACTGTGATTGTTTTAGATTGCATAACTTAAGTGGTAGATTGTGGGTCTTACCGAACTATTATCAAGGGCAAATGGATTACCGGCTTGCAAACCTCCTTGCCACAAGGCCCCCATCCGTTCGTTGGCCCACACAGCGTTGCTGTGTACTCGGTAAAATCACTAATGTTACTTGGAACACGTGAAATCGAACCCATCATTAATCTATGGTGTCACAGAGCTTCACATATAGAAGTACAGAAGTGGCATTGTTGTTTCGTTCAGAATGCTGACTAGAGAAGTCCATCGTCTCTTAATATGATGGCGTTGTCAGGAAGTAACCAGTCGTTACCTTGGGCACATGCTTCTGGATTTCTGATGGATAAATTATCTTTGACGGGTATTGCGTCGACATATAATTAATCATTATGCAAATCCCGTTTCAAAGGGAAGGATAATTCCACACTAGTTTGTTACCTTTGTCAAAATTGTTGTCTAAGCGAAAAAGCACTACAATGGGATGCCACAGGTCGCCCCATGGCGCGGGCTTTGGGCTATAAGCAGGTCACACAGGTGTCATGCTCTACTCCTGGATGAAGACCTTGTAGTGAATCGTGTTGATTCACGTTAAACACCCCGGTCGTCGCAGCCTCACGCACGCACGTCCCCTCTGTTCACGACCTGCCCGCCAGTCACGTGAGGCCGCTGGTGAGGCTGAGGCTGCGACGACCGGGGTGTTTAACGTGAATCAACACGATTCACTACAACCTTATCGAGCCCGATTTTAGCTAATATGCATTCAGGCGCACCCTCAACACTTGCACATCGAGAACTGGCGCTTTTGCGTGATCGCCATCTGCCCATCGCTAAGAAATTCGGAGAAAAACAAGATCGCCCGCCTCGCCACAAGGGCTGATGACAGCACAAAACTGCTCATGACACTACCATCACTGTGGTGTACCTGACAATCGAAACTAAGCCCGGATAAAAATTCACCTTACACGTCTGTTGCATATGACTGGCAATCCGTTTACCATTAAAATGTCAACCTATGCCGTCCTCGAAACCAAACCGAAGAACGCAACGCCTGAACACCCCCAACTGGTCTTCGACCTGTTTTCCACAACCTTCGCACTAACTGGCCCGATGAAGCCTACGGTGCGCGTTCGCTCTGTTCAGCCAATAATATGGTAGCAGGTATAAACCAATGAACGCACTGGAAATCTCTAATTCGCTAACAGTCGAGTGGCCTTAACTATTCAGGCCATATAAGGAGACGTTCTATCACCCGCGGGAGAATTCTCTTGTCTGCTGGTTGTTTTTGCGCGATGAGGTAAGCTGGAGTTGCAGGCTTTGTAAATGTGCGAGCACCTCTAACCTGAGTCATTTTTTAGTTCAAGTCTCCAAGATTGTGTTGAGGAAACCTTCGCGGCGTTGGACACCGATAAATCTGGCAAAGTTAGCTGCGCTGAGCTGAAGTCTGCCCTTGAGAAGTGCAAGGGTGAGAAGATTGACGAAGACGTCATGAAGCAATTTATCGCCAAATTTGACACCAACAAGGACGGGGAATTAAGTTTGGAGGAACTTAGAGCTCTTTTTTAAAACGTAAGGCCCCTTTTGGACTTTTTCTGAGGCGGACTCTCATGCACATTGATACTTCCCATTCTCCCAGTTCAACTGTACGTCGCCTTATAAAGCTCTCAACATTTTGTCTGATCAATGTCTTTGTGTAAATTCGTAAATACAAGTGAAGTTTGAGAATCTAGCTTGGTAGCCATTTGGAAATTTTTTTGTTTTCCGGTAGTGGCACGGTGGAAATCTGGTGGCAGGGCACACAGGAAGTCGCCGGGTATGTGAGAGATGGCCGGTGCCGGTGGACTTGCTTGTTTAACCAAAAAATCAACCACTCGAGTGGGTGTTGGCAGGGGCATGCACAGGGCATTAGTGTAGTAATCAAGCCCATGAATACTGGGGAACATGAAAGTATATGGCGGGGTGTCGGGCGCCTTTACTCCCACGAGGGGGCCTGAGGTCGAGTGACAGCTCACCGGGGAGCCAGTCGATCCATGGGGGTGATGGTACGCTTGTGGGTAGGTTTGTTGTGGCGTTGCCGTCGATGCATGGGCCCTTGTGAAAGTTTGCTCGATCCCTCTAAGTTAGGCTCGTGTTTCAATGTGGCTGTGAAATTATGACAGGGACACCTCACCTACATTGTTGACGATACCGGGTCATTTTGCTCACGCACAGTAACTATCAGGCTAACGCAGATTTTCCCCGTAGCGTGTAATTTTACTTGCTTTTCACAGGATCGGCATTCAGCTTGCTTGCAGGCTTGTCGACTGTAGCGGATTAGCAGCGATCGCGCCTGAGTGAACACGGTTTACTGACCTGACGGTTTTAATGACTCATCCCCTTTTCATCTGTTCAACCATCCACACACTAAGACACACTTGGCTGGCGTGACGCTAATAGAGGTCGTGCCCACTGTCGCCACTCGGGTTATTACGGGCTGTTAACCAGAAGCCTATGAGGTAGTGCTAATTGAATCCACTACAGTATCCTGCCTTTCGGATCCAGCTCGTTTCCAAAGTTCGTGAAGGATTTCGAAAAAGATTTGTACTAAATATTTCCAAATTCGTTGTGGTGGTAAGATGTCGTTGGCGGGGTGACTGGACGACTAATCATAAGTGTTATTATGCGAGGCCACAGGTCTGGTCACGAGATAATCAAGGACTAGTCGAAGTTCCCAGAAGGATTTCAGTCATCGAGATTTAAATCGAACTGTGGAATGCCTTTCAGGCCAAATCGCAGACCGCAGACTACCGGCCAGTAAAAGGTTAAACGCGACGACTGACGGTGGCCAATTTGCGGAGACACGACACGAAGTAGTTAGAGAAGGGGAAGGAAGCCGAAGTTAACATATCGGGACATATGTAATACCCTAACAATCGACAGAGCAAAAGCGTATATAAAAATGTCTTTGTGCTAGCCGTTGAATTGAAGTCGAATAGTTAGTGAAAATTGCGCGCTAAAGATCGGCTGCTATCGAAGCTTCACTCAACTCAAATTTGGAGCAGCGGAAACCATATGGGGCTCGCAGGAGTCACGCTGCATCTATGGTCGACTATTTTTTTTTGAAACGCGATCCATTGCGCAGTTGATGGTGCGCTTTTCAAAGTAACAGTTTGTTGGGAGTTCAAAAGGTAACAAAAGTCACTGACGGGTCCACCTGATTCTCAGCACTATGCAAGAGCCTACTCTACAACGTTGGTTTAGTTGTCCTGAAAAAACGTGCGTACACCAGAGTGGGATGTGATTGTAAAAAGGTAGAACTATTCCCTTTACAAAGTAGTTAATTAGAAGCGAGCGCACTAGGCGTGCTTAACTCTGTTGTCATGCTGCGATCTGTGTGAGTTCAATTCTTCAAGATATCTGAATGATCACAAGTGTAATTATGCATTCGGTATCACATCAACAACTGAAACAATTAGTGTTATATTGTTGTGACACTGAGCGACATCGCAACTTTCCTCCTTTTTACCACTCGTTGATCCACGAAGGTTGGCACAAGGTTCAGGCTTATTTTGTGAAATATGGCGATAGTGTTAAAATAACGATCAATGGACATAAATCAATGCACGAGGTGTTGAGCTGAGGGCGATTACTCGGACTTAAGAGCAACTAGCCCAATACGAGTAAATAACACTGGTAAGGCGTTCGAATATGTCTCTCGCATGGTCGCGGATTACTCACGGGGAAGGCCCTCATGGCTTTTCCAACCAGACAACACAACGCAGTGAAATGTAGTGAATCGTGTTGATTCATGTCCAATAACCCGGTTGTCGCAGCCCACCCGCCCTATCCATGTGACCATTCAGACGTCTGTATTTTTACTAGTTCTCTCAACTGTACAGTCAGCAAACAGCTTCGTTGAGCTGTCAAGTAAATGGTTGCGCCTCGTCCCCTCTGGTCTCCATCGCGGGCACTCAGGGTAACGCGATTGGGCCAGATTCAACAGTGGCCACGACGTGGTTTTCAGTCAACGCGCCGGGGCCATTGAAAGATTGAAATGTAATAAGCCGATAATATTTGTATGACACCACAAATGAGGACAGATCCTGGCCTCTTGTCAGTTCGGGACCGTACTCTCCACATCGTAATACACAGATCCGTACTTTTTTGCATTTCATTTCATTGAAAATAGCCCAGAATTTGGCTGGAGGGTAAAAAGAAAGCCTTCTCAATCGCACCGTTTTAATTTTCGACGTTTTGGTTCATTCGATCGCTCACATCTGTTACCCCATTAGAGGTGTGTCAATGGGGAAAATCGAAGCCTTAAGGAGGGCCTTGAGCAGAGCTTCAAGAAAGCTCACGCAATCCAGACCAACAAATTTTTGTCAGTGTGAGCTGAAGCACCACTTTCGTTGGAATGGATTTCGTAATTAAGTCGCCCTGATCGTCTCCTGGTCCGAGATTGCGGCCATTCGATTTAATTCAGGAAGCCTTTATTATTCACCAGGCTCTCAGTCAACTGCGAGCCACTAAATTACGTGACAAAATCACGTTTAATCAGCAAGGACAAAACTGTTGAGGTTTTTTGACCACGGATACCAGATAGCGAGAATGAGTCAAAGGACTAGAAACATGGCCGAGCATCCGGTGGCTATGCTAGCTTCTCCATTCGATAACAAATCGTTTAACAAAGGTTTTGATTCCTTGTTTAGTTGGTATCCACGATAGGTACGCAGTTCAGTCAGCTACTGTGTCTTAACTAGTTCACTCGTGAGCACGGTTCGTTTGAACGGTGATTGTTTTATTTGCTTGGTTTGGTGGGCAGCAGCATAAAGAGGCGAATTCATCAACATAAGAAGGTTTCATTTCCATAAAATGCATGAAGTTGCGTTTTTTTCTTTCCCGTGCAAACGAGTCTCCTTCCCATTCCAATGTAACTCGTGTTAAGCAATACCTGGTTCAGTGAACAGTATTTGTCATTGTCAACAATACAGACAGATCATTGAAAAATATCAGTCAATTGTAATTAAAAAATCTGAATACTTAGACGACGTATTCAAAAATTCAATAATTTTCCCATATTATTGCGTATACACAAATAAAATCTCTACAAATCCAGTTTGGGACATATACTTGCATATGCATGTTTCCTCCCTCTTTGTATTGGGAAGATTAGTGCGAAATGTTTGTCAATCCCAATGTTCTTTCGTTGCATTGGTGGCGAGTACCAAGACTAAGTAGGCCAAAGTATGAATAAATGTTGCATAAACAAAAACGACACACACACACACACAAGTAAGCACAAAAGCCGAAGCGCACACCACACAATGATTGATGCCGCTAATTTATGCACAAGCGCACTCACAACCACAGTGATGCAGAGTGGTGGAAACAGTTTGCGTCCCAATTCCTCAAAGGCCCTTGCAATGGTGCGTGCTCGTGCGTAAGAATCAGCAGAATGACCTTTCAAGTACGTAAATCTATTATCCATCATAGGGGAAATACCCTCACCATGAAAATGTGTGTCACCCACTACAGTACTCTTCCACAATCGCCTTTGGTTAAGAAAAAATCGGAGCTATGTTTGATGGTTGGGAATTCCAAGAACGGAGCTACACTGCTCTTAACGAGATTCAGAGAACGAAGTTGAGTGTTTAGGACTAGGGAATGTACAAGTAGCCATGAAGTGTTCGGTTACTTTGATGATGGAGACTGAACTACGGTGAACTTTGTTAAAAATCAAGCATCGTATTGCTTGTGCTACAAAAACATTGGAGGAACATTAAGCAATTACACATGTGTGTTGCCTCTAGCTCACAATCAAAAGGGATGACAAAGGTTTTGCGGTGTGATATTTAAACACCACATAAATAGGTAGTAGCAATATCTTGTTTGGAAAATGTAATTCCTCTTAAGCTGCTTGAATTCCAAAGTTAAACTGAATATTGCAAAGAGACAATTTGTTGAGCTGGCAATTAAATCAGTTGATCATGTCTAACAATGAGCCTAGTTGCCTATTGATAGACCTCTAAAAAGTTAATGCACTTACAGTAAAATGCCAAATATTAGTCAAACAAACATTGAGCATAGTTTTAATGTAAACGTTAAAGTAATGGTCCTCGTTGGGTCAGATGGAAAGCGGGTGAGAAATCTCCATTCACCCGTGCACATATTCTGCACACGAGACTTCGGAATGCAATTCCGCTCTTCCAGTTTATAGCTGGGCGACAGAAATGCAGGCGTAATTGAATTGGAGAGGTGTCCTCCTTTAATATTGTAGCGACCAGTGATTTCATCATCCAATATCCTTTAAACCAAGTGCATTTTTGACGATAACTCTAAAAGTATACTCAATTTAGGTGATGCTAAGGGAGTAATTTCGTGTGGACCAATGGAACATCAAATTTTAGCTGGAGGAAATTGATCGATGTTTCCGAATAACAAAAATAACACGTTTAAAAGTGGTTTCGTAACAGGTTTCCTTAGCATACAGTGCTTCAAGATGATCTACACCCTCCCAAATTTTGATAGCAAATTCGTGTTACAAGGACATGCTTGGCACTTCGAATCTCCCCTATAAATAATCATTT